AAATTTTTAGTCCTAAATAACTGATTGCACAAAAATGCCAACCCCAATAACAAAATAATCGTAATGTGTATTCACTTTAAAATTGTATATTCCTACCCGCGTACTTCATCATGCTAATTTTTATTAAATTTCAACATAGTTTAACACGTTCTCTCTTCTTTACATTTAAATATAAATTCCAAAATTTGTAATCACAAATAAATGTATTGCGAATGTTATAATATAAAAATTTTGGATAAAAAAGTAAAATTCACTGATTGAATTTCATTTTTAATGTTAGTTTTCTTGTTGCTGTAGTTACTTTTATTTTGTAAAGAGCGGAGAAATACTTGAAATGATAGTCAACATTATATATTAAATTATATATTTTTAAATAAAAGGTTTTATATTACGGCTGAGAAAGACATGATGTGCTCTAGTTGTTATACAAATAGAAATTATCAACAATTGTGCCAAGTTTATATAAACTGATATGTCGTTTGAGCATTACTAATATAGAGCAAAACGGATTCTTGTTAGAAATGAGTCTGATTGGATTAAGATAATCCCATAATGAAATAAGATATTTATCACAGTAAAACTTCCCAATTACACATTTGACAACATATGAGGGAAATAGATGCTTGAACTCGTATGATGCACGGCTTGATACAACAAAAAAAACACTTGCAAAAGGAAAATATGAAAGGGCCGCAAAATGTTAATTTTCGTTGATATTTCTGTTTCTGCAATTAGGTGTTCACGTGCTCTTACATATTTTGGAATATGATTTTTGTATTTCGTACAATCTTGCAACACCAGGAGAATCACCTAATAGTCTTTAATACATATAAAGAAATGAATTGAATAAGTCAATAATGACTAAATTCGCAAAGGCAATAATGCGCYAATATTGAATAGTAAATAATATTATTATATTTGTTGATGCATATTTGCACCTCTCACTATTATTATATCTATTGATAGTTAAAAATAAATATTTACTTTTCATAGTTCAGTGATATACTACGCAGGGCAATATTTAAAAGTTGTGAATATGTTATAAATTAGCACATTGTCATTCTATTGTTAAGAATTGCAGAGTGTTCTTAAGTATCTGTTTACGTTATTATATATAATTTCAAATGCCCAATATTTTTATAATTTAACTCTCAAATTCAAACAGACGAAATTACCTTCGAGGCAACACTAATACTTATATTTGATTTAAGACATCACTATACTTTTTAAAAATTACTACTACAGTAGTATACATACATCCACAGCATAAATGCTTAATGAAGACCTGGTACTCCAAATTTTATTTACACTCATGAAGAAATGTGATATTGGTTACTGATTTCTTTGTCACTGGATGGCATAGTGTATGCAAGAGTTATTTAATCACTACAGTGAATTTCAAACTTTGAACATCGAAAACTCAAGCTATTGTGAACTGTTACACAGTAAATTTTCTCTCGCTTGTTTGTTTACATTTGCTAGACTGTGTGATAATAGTTCGTAAGTTTTGTAATAAAAGAAAGAAATGTCAAAGAAGAAACTCTTCTCTTTATGGAYTAAATTTTATCTATGTATGATACAAAGAAACGAATATATGGTCCTTAAAAACATGATATTCCATGCTTATAGAACTTTTCTGATATTGCACACAAAAAGAAATAAAACATTCCCATTTAGTAAGTCATWAAAAATTTAAAGTAATTGAGTAAAAGTAAAACAGGGATTTTAAAATTATTTTCTTAATTCATAATTTTAATACACAACTCAATAATACACTAAAATATAAAGTGTGTTTWTAAAAAATATTTCGAGTGTCATTGCTTTTTATGAATGTTACTTATATTAGTGAGGTCGGTGAGATAAGCGCATCAATGTCTTTAACACCGGGGTGTTCAGAGTTCTTTCGCGTAGAACTCCTTTCTGCAACTTTTATAAAAAATTGCTAAAGATTTTTGCGTTTTCCATTTATGTATCTAGGGTATAAAGTTTTTGCTTATTTTCTTTTTTTGACATTTAGGCAGATATGGCAATAYCATCTATTTCCTAGTATGCAACCCTATTCTCGTTGTGCAAATGCAGTGAATTTAACTAAAACAAAATAATTAAAATAAAGCTTTATTTGCAATAAATATTAAAAAAAAAATATTATACAAAAACGTTATAGTGAAGTGTTAGTAAATGAAAAGAGCATAATATAAGTGAAAAAGTTATTCACAATATGCAAATTGTCAATTTAAAAGTTGTATATTTTTTTACTTTAAATGCAAATATCTTTAAAACTAGTCAACGCTAACTATATATATTTTCGTGATCTGGAAAACGTCACCTTTCCAATGATACCCATTTTATMCCCGAAATCMGGCGATGCTATTCTAAATCGCAGCCAAAAAATTAAAATATTTGGTGCATCTCTAGAAAAACCAAATTAGAAAATTAATTGTACAATTAAAACTTAAAATATGGCATCACTGAAACATCCTGCCAAAATTAGTCTTGTAACGAAAATCTATGAAATATTAATGCAATCGAAAAAAAAGCCCGGTAAAATATTTTACTTTACTTAACAATTATTACGATTAAATGGATGTCTTCCGAAAAACTTTTATCAAATACATTTTTATAACATTGCATATTTTGGTTAATAYCAAATCCGGCACTGGCAACACTGTGTCGAGCAAAGCACATACATAACACAAACCATGTACCCTAATCATCTTAGAATTAAATGTATCAAAAGAGCGTTGAACAACAAAAATGCACACTCACATATTTGCAAATAACTTAATAAGGGGGCTCGGCAGCTTGGTTTTAAAAACACTTGGGTGCTACGAAAACACAATCTCGTTAATGTCGCCCGCATAATCACACACTACAGGTGTACATAGATACATATTCACACACACGCACTAACTGAATAGTGAACAACGAGTAAATATTTAATGGGATTATTCGGAAAATAAGTAAACAAAGCAGCAAGAATAAAATCTAAACATACATCTAAACTCACTGAGAGAATGTATTTAAACAAAAAAAGTCTCTCCATCACTAAAATGTTCACCTTTCGTAGATCTTTGGCTGCATGGTGCACGCAGTTGATTGGTAATAAATCGATTGCATATTTTCTATTTCTTCACAATAATTAATTGTCTTTACGAACAAACGGTGTAGATGTCAAAAAAGGCCAGTAGAGAAATATTTGACATTGTTGAAAAACGAAAATTTTACCAAAATTACTTACCAATAAATGTTAGTCGCTGGTTAGGTGTTCCATTTAATTGATTTTCACTTTGTCAATATTTTCTTTACACATAAAGTAGGATCACACTAATATTGTATTTGCAATAATGTAAACAATATTAATTCGCAATATTCTTCGCGCAGGTAAAGCTGACTAAATTATAACAAAATTGCACAGCATAAAAGAGAGTACGTGACCACAGCGAAAAAACTAATGCATTCACAATGGCTGCCACCACTGCATACACCTACTGACATATTTAATTTTGCAATTCACAGTGGTGCAACAATGAACGAACGTAGCAAGCATGCCAAAGCAACAAAAACACCACGTTTTGTCAAGCTATCAATGCAGCACGATACAATGTAGTGACAAAAGAGGATAATCGTTTTCGATCGTTCACATTCGGGGATCTCTTTTTAGCTTCTACAAATGGCAGCAGTTTTCATGAATTTCCCAAGCACTAATCACATTTTTACAGAACTTATTTTCACTGTTTAACTTTTTTTGTTTGCATAATAAATTCACTAGCAGTTTATTGAAAGTCACCGCTGAGGTCCGTGTATTCTCGCAAACAATTAGAGCAGTGCACTTTTATGTGTTCTTCACCTTACAGTGCTTCACGTATGAATAACAAAACATACAATCAACGCCAACCAGTTTATTGCAGTGTTTTATTGAAGTATTTTATATATATTTTAATTATTTTCAATACAATTACTTTATTTTCACAACCTACCGAAATTTTTTCACACACTAGAGATGCTAACAACAATTTTGTCTAAAAATGTTGAGAGACTTGTGAAAATGTACACTGAAATTCACAATAGTACGTTGTAAAAATAAGCGTACAATCGTGTGTAGACAATCGGTTCACATCTTTGATAAAGTAGTCGGGTTATGAAAGAAATAACTTGTAATCATATTGCAGGAAATAAAAATAAATTCTARGCGAATTTAAACATTTACCACCTTCATTATGAATATATTGATGATGATTGGATATTGATTTATTTTCCAATAATTGTAACTATCACTTCATGTGAATTAAATGTTTGAAATGTTTAAAAAAAACTAAATAAGCCTTTTCAAAGGCTTTAATAAAACCCTAATTAAATCCAGACCCAGTAATACTCTTTACACTTGCTTCTATAACAATTTATTTATTTTTTTTAATATCTCGTGGAATTAACATAGCATAGAATATCTGTATGTATATATAATTTTTATACTTATAATGACAACAATGAACAACAACAAATACATTTTACGAATGTCTCGAAGTATGGATGCATGTATGTAGTACGTACGTTTGGATTAACGTTATATTGTTTACGTTCCTTTTTTGCGCCATGTTTTTTCTAGGCAGGTCAAAAAGCCAAGGTTTTTTGCATTTTTACTTTAAAAATATTTGTAATGCGAATAATATTATTATAAATACATATTTCTTTCGTTTTTAATCATTATATATATTGTTTTGTAAATATAATATCCGATTTTTTTTTTGTAAACTCGTTTTGATTGTGTAAATTCCCTAAACGATTTGCAGCAGCCAAAGATATTTTGATCATTCTTTGAACGTTATGCCTTCAGTTTCGTTTTCATTATATATGTATATAATAGTTAGTATTAACAGTAATATTATTGTATTTTTTTAGGAAAATTGTTTCGAAAATATCCAATTGCATTTATTATTGTTGTTTTGTTGTATCTTATGTTTATATTTAAACAAGCCTTTTTTTTGTTTGCTTAACAATCGGTGTAAACCATTAATGGCAAGTCGATTATTCTTAAAGTTGTTTCTCCGGTTTCTCTCCAAACCGTGGTGTAGTTTTGTACAAAATAATATTTATTAATATTTAAATTTAAATTAGCTTTTCAAAGGCTTTTTGCGTGCGGAAAACCATAAAATCRAAATAATATAAACTACGCAATGCTGAAAATATTTTATTTTTAGTGCACATTGTCAAAAGTTTATAGTTTCTAATTTTTAATATAAAATTATGTACATATATTCATAATTTGTTTATTGGCTAAGTTTCGTTGCTTTTTTAGTTTTAGTTGTAATGAAATCAGTTTGCTATTATTTTTATTATGCTAATTTTGATTTGCTTCTTTCTACCTTTTCATTTACTTTCAGAAAATATTTCGTAGTTTTCTTCTCATAGTTTATTTTAAAATTCCCTATTCTTGTTTTAGAAATTAAGTTATATTTTTAATATTTTTTTATGTTGTCAGAAAATATTTACTCATACACGYTTTGAATGGTTTTGGGGTTTCTCGCTTAAGTACAATACAATTTCTTTCTGGCTTTTTTATAGTGTGTTAAAGTTTTCTATATACTTTCCTTTTAAGTATGTATTTATATACATTGAAACATACTATATATCTTTATTTGCAAACAGCAACTTAAATATAGGGATGGGTATACGGTTTAAAATATCATATGTATGTATATGTAAATATAATATAAGCAGCATTCATTAAAAAATTTCCTTCTATATGCATTCACTGGAATAATTCTCAGTATGTTCATTTAATTTAAAAGGTGCGTTTATTTGCTGGTCACAAGATTTAAGAACTCCTCTCTGGTTTTAGGATCATCGCGGAAGACGCCCAACATTGTCGAGGTGACAGTTTTGCTATTGATCTTCTGCACACCACGCATCACCATACACATGTGACTAAAATAGAAATAAAAAAATATAAATTATGGAGATAAATTTATTTATAACGAACTAATAACGTTAATATCTAAATAATATGAAGTTATGTTATTTTTATTTATTTATATTTTTTATTAATATATGGGTGGTACACTTACACTCCCTCAATGATGACAGCAACACCAGCTGGTTGCACAGCCTGTGTGACAGCAACGGCGATTTGCTTTGTCAAACGTTCTTGCACTTGTAAACGACGTGAAAATATCTCCACAATTCTGTGATATATATTTGGAATTAATTAAAGAACTGTTTTACTACAAAATTGGTTATGAACCACARAAATGTATCTACCTTGCCAACTTGCTGAGTCCCAAAATCTTATTGCAAGGCAAATAGCCAATAGAAACTTTTCCATAGAACGGCACCATGTGATGTTCACACATGGAAAACATTTCGATATCCTTTACTACTACCATTTCATCGTGATCCTCATCGAAGACAGCGCCATTGAGAACGTCTAAAAATAAAATTGAATTGGTAAGAAAAAATATTAACATTTTTACAAAGTTTCAAAACTTTAAAGTTTTTGTTTTCAATCAACAATAAAAAATCATACATTTCAAMGCTAATTTTAAATTATTGAAATATTTTTAACTTATAGAAAATGAAAGAAAAGAAATACAACATAATAGTCATGGTTATGAAGAAAGCGGAATTTTGCTAAAAACAAACCAAAGCTTTCTACTGCTTGTGTGACCCCGACGTGATTTGAACACGCAACCTTCTGATCTGGAGTCAGACGCGCTACCGTTGCGCCACGGAGTCTTTCTTCCTTTTCTCACAAAAGCGCTACACAACCACGCTGGCTACCGTTTATTTACTTTTTACCATGGTCATAATAGTCTGAAATTACTACTAATTATTGCTGAATATTACTGTTCAACTACAAACTACACTGATTATAAGCTAATTGAAGATAAATAAAAAGGCGTATTTCAAGTAGAATTTCAAAAAAGCAAATAAAAAGTTTTTCATTAGCTGTTTGGCGTGTTCAAAATGTATATGTATATCACCCTTCGAGATCCAATGCTTCATACATATATGCTATGCTTTATTATTAATTTTGTTGAGATATATAATATTCTCAAATCTAATGAATATTTCGAAGTATAGTTAAATTAAATTTTTCCAAAGAAAAATGTAAAAATTTAACTCTTGTGACCCCGACGTGATTTGAACACGCAACCTTCTGATCTGGAGTCAGACGCGCTACCGTTGCGCCACGGAGTCATATAAATTCTCATRCACAAATGGCGCACTGAAGCACAAGCCTTCGGTAAATACAAACAAGAACAAACAATAATTGAAAGAGAAACTGAGAGCYTATGCTAAGCAAACTTGAACTTAAACTTAAGAAGCTTTCGGAAAAGCTTTAAAATTAAGAGTAAACTAATGCAAGAGAGAATGGAAAACTATTATATTTCTGTAATTAGYGTTAGGCAAAACTGTACTAAAGAGGACCATTACTAAAGAGGAGCATTCTTTGTTATTTTTAAAGTAGTAGGTGTAATTAAAAAAAAAAATGCACACGCATTTTAAATGCGCCAAAATGTTTATGAGTTTACGTCCATATTCAGCTTCACCATGAGCATGTTCATATGTGAGAAATCTTTAAATGGCACTATACCTAGAAGGAAATTTTACTTTCAGATTAATACTTACGCACGTGTGTACATATATACATACATACATACATACATACATATGTATATGAATATATGAATATACAAATGCAGTATATAGTAAGTGAGATAATTTCTTACGAAAACGTTTTATAAACATATAAAGAAATGGAATTTGTTTTTATACTCCAAATACGGATATAGCATTTCACGTTGAAAATTTCTTCCTAATAACATTCATGATTGCCTAAATTAATTCCTAAACAATATTTATGAATTTCATAATTGCATTGGTAAAGTTAATATTAATTTTAGTGCATTTAATTTGGAGCGGTAAATTAAAGCAATGAATAAAATAAGCATTCCTTAACTTAAAAAAATTMAAAAGCGATAAAAGAATGTATTTTTATATCAATAAAAAAATTAAAATTTCGTAATAAATTTGCGGAGCAGGATAATAAGGGCAAATCGCATCAATTAATGTGTTCTAAACTTTTTTGTTTTATTACAACACATTTTTTCTTCGTTCTATAAGTAAAAAAAGTTAGACAATGACAATACTGTTCCAATGACCCCGACGTGATTTGAACACGCAACCTTCTGATCTGGAGTCAGACGCGCTACCGTTGCGCCACGGAGTCGTGCTTAAATWATGGCGCAAATTAGCCACAAGAGCACGTAGGCGGCTAGACAATTGATTTTTTCGAAACACATATTTTAACTACATATACACACCTGCTCAAAATAATAGTTACACGATAAAACTTAGTACTCTCAACAGCTTAAAAAACTTTTTATGGGCTGTATGCGACAAGTTATGCTGTAAGTTTAATTAAGATAATACGGCATCGCGCTTTCTAWGAGAATGAAGCATGTGATATCCCGAATTAATGGGTGTGTCAGTTTTGCGTGAATTCTCAGAAAAAAATTGCTCAACATAATAGTTACACATAAGTGAACTTAGCTTTTTGTGAAAACAAAATTTATCCAGTTTTTCAAGTTTCAGAAAGTAAGGAAAATCGCTTCGGGAAATTAATGGAAAGGTCTCATAATTTTGTTAAAAATGCTTTAGAGCGAAAATGTAGTAGGAAGACTCGTGGAAGGCCACAAAAAACGAATACAGTTCTTGATCGCCACATTGCAACTATTTGTAAAAAGGGCCCCTTTAAATTGTCGAAAACAGTTCGCAGGCGTTTGCAAAAGGCCAAGCTACCAGGACGTAAAGCCAGAAAAGTTCCATTGATGTGATCAAAAAATTTAGATATGAGTTTAAATTTTGTAAAAGGTCATTTAGATTGGTCAGGACCTGAGGGAACAAAAAAGTGGAGAAATATCTTATGGAGCGATGAAACGAAAGTAAATTTGTTTGGAAACGATTGTGAGAGAAATTTGCGTCGTCCAAAAGGAAAGGAGTTTCACGTTCGATTCACAAAAAAAAAAACTGTGAAGCATGGAAGTGGAAACCTCATGGTGGGGGGATGTTTTTCTTGGTATGGAGTAAGTCCTATATACAACTAATAAAATGACATCGTCGGAGTACAAGGAAATACTTGAAAATGTCATAATACCCTATGCTGAAAAAAGCTTACCATTACGTTGGGTATATCAGCAAGATAATGACCCAAAACATCCCTCCAAACTGGATAAAAAATATTTTGAAGTTAATAATGTTAACGTTTTGAAGTGGCCAAGCCAATCCCCGCATTTAAATTCAATAGAAAACCTATGGGAACAACTAAAAAAAAAATTTGACGAGTCAATCTTTCTCTAACAAAGAYCAGTTATAGGAATGCATACAAAAAACTTGGTAAGAGATACCTAAAGAAACCTGACAGACTTTAATCAGTAGTATGTCCAAACGAATAAATAAAGTAATCCAGAATAATGGTGGATATACTGGCTATTAACTGATTAATCTTAAATATACAACAAAACTGTTTTATCATAATTTGCTTTTCCAAAATAATTGTCTTATTAAAAGTGTACTGTTTTTTTTTAGCAACTTTATTTTAGCTATGAAATGTTTTTGGATCTACATTTGTTTGTTTGCTTTTTTTTTAATGAAGTTTATTTAAATAAGCTTGTAAATATTTGAAAAATATATGTACGTTTGCGTTTTTCTTAAAAATTTAAATAACACTTTTTATTCATGAGCTTTACTTGAAAAAGTATTGTGTAACTATTATTTTGAGCAGGTGTGTAATATATATCCTTCAAAATATTATTATTTGTGCAATTTATACCAAATTATAACAAATTTAATACAACATATATGTATAGACATTGGTAAATGAAAAGTTAAACCTTAGGATATGATAAATACTTAAAAAGAACACTATCTTCAAACAAAACAAACACAAATAGATTTATGTGTTCGATAAAATATCGAAAGCCAAATGTAACAGAAAACAAAAATAAAAAAAATGTGACAAGAGTTGGAAGTCGCAGAAAACAAACACTTCTTTAGCTAATATTATAAATTTTGATTTGCTTTTTATAAAAGTGCCAATTTTAATTTCGAGTTGTCGTTTTATGCTCATAAACCGCACTGATTGTAGTTGACATCGGGAGGTTCTTGCTTTAAGGGGATTTATTTAATTCAATCAAATACTTTACAAATCCTCTAATTTTAGCTTAATTTAAGATAAAATAAGTTATGAAGTCAAATTACAATAACAGTTATTGACAAATACCAATAATAAACATATTTTATTTAGTAGAACGGCCAACTTCGGAGCTTAGCTCAATTAAAAGCTTAATGAGTACATATGTATTTCTCTACTAAGACTATACGTATGTATGTGCATATGTATGTGTTTGTGAATGCACTTCGACTAATTTGCAACACATTTAAACTTTAACRCCTGATCAAATGTTGCACGACAAATATTTTTTAAATATCGGGCTTTTTATAATATATTCAAATAGCACAGCTGCAATTTTTGCTCTCTAATGCACTTTTGCCAAAAACATGCATATATATACATATGTACATACAAACGTAACGTTATTTTATTTTACGAAAAATTAACAAGTTCAGAAACCAGTTATTTGCGTTTATATATTTTTTGTTTAAATCAAGTTTTTGTATTAATTTTGATTTAGAATTTGTAAGCACTGAGCTTTTGATCATATGGTTTGGTTTTTTACCACAAGCTTCTATGTATTAATTAACTAAACGTGTCACAAGAGTTCGATTTTTTGTTTTAAAGATCAAATGCAAATTGAATGTGCTTTGCCTTCAAAATATAGTTTTGTAAAAAATGTCGAAAGCAGAGTAGGAATAAGAATATATGGGTTTAAAAACACATGAGAAGAGAAAACAGTTTATCTTTAAATAGTAAAAATAACAAAAAATTGTTRAATCGAATTTATCTCTACATAAATGTGTAAAATTCAAGACTTATTTAGAAAAGAATAAGGCTGTTTGGTTTTTAGGCAAATTTTCCATAAATTTACACAATAATCAAAGATCATCATTTATTTATCCTTTAATTTGATTACGTACAATCATTAAATTTACAGATACTACRGTCATATACATATGTATGTATGTATATGTATGTATGTATATGTAAACGCATTTATGTAGTTAAATTCTGTCAAAAAGGAATGTATGTTAAAAACGGCAAAAATTACATTACAAAATATGTGTGTGTATATGTATAAATATATACATTAATACATACATATATGTTTGTATATGGTACATAAATATTTGTAACTAAATTTTATTTCCTTGTCGAAAAGGTTCACTCATCAGCATATTCAGCAGAATAATTTTATCAACACTCTTACCAAATTTATTGACGTTTCCTTTCAGGGTTGCCGTTATAAATATTAATCATTAGCAATAAATATTAAAAAATTTTATTTCGATTTGCGTTTACTAATACATATTATATATAATAATCGTTGACTTTCCAATGAAATCTAACTAACGATTTAAGGAGATTCGTAATTACAGTTAATTATTAATATTGCCTAAGCTTTTAAGCTTTTGTAATTAAATTTTTTGTGACACATATACAAGTATACAAAAAATTGTAATTAATTGTATACATTCGTCACTACAATTTAAAAAATTACATTTAGATTAAAAACTTTCCTTAAATAAAGATAAATGACAATTGATTCCAGCGACAACACACATTGACATTTTAACAAAAAGAGAAAGTAGTTGACGGCAAAGGAGCGCAAAATCCAATTTTTGACTTGCTAACAGTGAATATTAAATTTTTCATTGATTTCTGTTTGCGCTGCCTGAAATGTAGCCTTTGATGATAGTCAACAGTTGTTTGTAGGAGAGAAGTTATAACCAACCTCTCCAAAATTTTATTATTGATATATATATATATATGTATGTATATGTATGTATGCTTTTGACGCAACCACTTGTTGAGAATGCCTTCAGGATTGTACGAATTTTGTATGTAATCACGTAGGCAATTTCCTTTTTAGCGCTCGTCATGAGAAAGCTTCTTATGATAAAACTTAATTTAGGTTCATGTTAAGACAGCCTTAAATTGAACACACTTAAAGTCCAGTCCATTTCTAACACTATTTGCCATGCACATACATATGTATGTACATTACAGTTATACTTTTGCTTGGTTTCCTTTCAACGAAGGACGTTTGCTTGCGCATTTTCTTCATACTTCTTACATTTAATGTACATTTTTATATATACTATACAGCTACGCAATTGTATGCAAGGATTTTAGCTATTTATGCGCAGTCATGTCACCATTCAAAGTTAATGTGGCATACAACAGTTAATAGTGTGGCCATCTTGTGTATGCCAAGCTGTCAGTTAAAGTGCATCAATCAATTAAGGTCTGTACGTATGCAGTAAAAGTTGGTTGAATATATTCACAAAATATTGGAAAGCAAACTTTTTGCAATTTTCGCATTAACACACGCACTGCTAGCGTTGGAAAAACCGAATGCTTGTGCTAATTTAGTGCGAAATAAATTTCTGCCATTTCTTGGTATACAGTTTAATTTTTTTCGGGCGTATTCTGCACATCACGAACACGATGCGCTACTCTTTACGCAGCTTGTTGTGGTATTTCCCCGCAAGCCAAGCTCTTACTAAAATAATTGACTCATCGCTATGAAACAGGTTGAGTCTGCTAAAAGAAATCCCCATGCATTGGATCAGGCTCACATGGGTAAGCTGTTAGCTTATACTCGTGTATGTATGTATGCAACAAGAACAATTTCACAACTAACGTCAATGTTATGGCAAAAAATCGGATTTTTTGCAAGGTGAAGATCCCCGCGTCAATTGGCTAATGAAATAAGTCATCAGTTGCTGTTGATGACACCAGGTTCGCTGACCGCTTATGAATGATGAACAATTGTTGCACACCGGACACTGAAGATGTTTGTATTGTTAAAGGTTTGTATGTATGTATGTTTATAAATTTTTACTATGTAAGTACATATATACTATATGTTTATAACTGTAAATAACGATTTTTCCGCAATTAACGCTAATAACACTGTTATGCAATATCTTAATTATCATATCGTATAATAGTTAAAGCATTTGTACTTAAACGCAGCATCAATTGTGCATAGTCATGCCCAWTTTGATGTCAGAGGCGTTAACATTTGAATGAATTCGTTAATTATTTCATAATTTCATATTAATAGAAATTTATAAATCTGATTTTAACCTTTGTAGCAGTTGGATTAGAAGCTGTAAGAAATATAACTTTTGGTGATAATATGACCATGTAGGTCATAACTAATTTTAGGTTATAGGGTTACATAGAGTTAAAATTTGTAAGAAAATCGATTTTTTTTCATTTTTTTAATGTACATATATTTAAGAATACTCACAGAAAGTTTTCAAACTCGCTGACCAACATTACTCGAAAACGGCTAAACCGATTACTCTCAAATTTTAACACGAGCTTCTTAAATAATTTCATAGTAATTAATGTAAAATTACAAYTACAACTAATGTAAAATTACAACTAGAACTTTGCTTCCGCCGTTTTCCAATAGATGTCGATCTTAGACATTTGTKTGAACATTAACCCAACAAAATATTTGTAGAGATCTGTTTGCATCCCAAACTTATTCTCAACTGAAAATGTCACTTTTTGAGCCGAATTCTCGACATTTGCAGGAAATTTTGCTTTTCTTTTTTAATTCCAAGAAAAGTGCAGCTGAGGACCCGTCCACGCTTTACTGAGGCTGACATGCATAGATAATACTATTACTCTACTACTCCCATCTATATGATTTCTATTAGGTATTAAAAAAATATAGAACACTTTTGGACCGTTTTAATACAATAAAGCCTTAAATTCGCAAAAAAAAAAAACAAAAACGGCGGAAGCAAAGTTGTAGACCTAATTTTGGAACGAAATTTTGGAAAAAAAAATTTTTTTTTATAAACCGCCATTTTGTCAAAAAATTGTATTCGCTTTTTTTGATCAATTAATTTAAAAGCTTTCTCAGAAAAAATTGTACTTGTATTTTTACTTCGCTCTTTTTCGGCCTTCTAACTGTATATTACCGCTTATGAAAGGACAAGTCGTTAATATTTTATGAATTAACATTAAAGTCATATTTTAAAGTAAATTATGATTCATATTTTTCTTTTTTTTAGTAATTTCTCTAATTAAATAATAATATTATTAAAAGGTTTGTATTATTAAACTAAAATATTATTATGGATTTAACTAACTTTTCAATATACCGAGTCTTTATTTTTGCTGTTTGCCAAGAGATGGCGTAACTTGCTTTTCATTTTATTATTCCAATATTCCGACCATTAGTTTTAAGGCTATAGCCTTTCTTTGCGCCTTTTTTGTATATGGTGTAGATGGCATTCATTTGAAGTGTGAACTTGTTCATCTTTGTACCTGAAAAAGTGTTTTTTTGGGATTTCTTGTACATTACATTAATTTGAAAGAATTCTCAACCAAAATTCAAGATATTTTGGAAGAAATTTATGGTGAACATGCCATAGATGGGCGCTTGTACTCAAAATGGTTTGCGCGGTTTAAAAGTAGTGAATTTGGTTTGGAAGACAGCGAATGTCCTGGATGGTCAAACAAGTTTGGAGGATGAAGAACTGGAATCATTACTCGATAAAGATTGTTGTCAAACAAAAGAAGAGCTTTAAGCCAAAGATTTAAAAGCTGGCGGTTACATTCAAAAGCAAGGAAATTGAATGCCATTTGAATTGAAACTAACAGACTTTGGAAGACAATTTTGGCAACGGATTGTGGCTGATGAAAAATTTGGAGCTTCAGATGGGTAATACTTTGGATAAAATTATTGTGCATGTTTTTTTTAAATAAACGTTCAAATTTTGAAATAAAGGAAGCTCACGAATTTAGTTATAAACCCAATATTATATTAASTATAATTTGTACCAAACATTTTTGTACTTTTGCTTAAATTTAGAGTAAAAATGCAAAATAAAAAATACTGTGATATTTTACTAAACAGCTACTCGTATTAAAGCAAAAACCTGCTATATGTTATTTTTTTTTTTATAAAAAGTAAACCAAGCTATAAAATCACGTATTTAAGTTATAATTACAAATACTACGCCAACTATGGCTCTGTYAACGTTGCTGAAGTTAGCATTCAACTATTGAGCGGTATAGAGTAAAGAATATCTGACATGTATGGATATCTAACAAGGCGATCGTACTAATGAATATCGATGACCAGCACTTTTCAAAACTTGAATTTTTGTTTGCATGTATGTGAATATGTATGCTAGCGCATAACTTATTATGTATGTAACCATGTATGTACCATATATATGTAAGTGGAATACACAAATTCGATTATTTAATCAAGAAAATTAGTGGCGATAAAATTACATTTAATAATTTAAAAAATTATATAATGTATATAATCAAAACACATGGATTTATACATTTCAAATATAAAACCAGTTGCTTTGTAAAATCCCTGTCAAATTTCATGAAGATATCTTTTCAAATAAAAAAATTTTCATTCAAGGCCTAGATTTTGATCACCAATTTGTATGGCACCTATATACTATAGTAATTCGATCTGAACAATTTATTGTACGTGCCAAATTTTGATGAAGATATTTCGTCATATGAAAAAGTTTTCCATACAAGCATTTGATTCCGATCGTTCAGTTTGTATTGCAGCTATATGCAAAAGTGATCCGATCTAAACATTTTCATAAAAGATTGCCCATTATCTTACACAAAAATGCATGCCAAACTATCTTGTCAAATAAAAACGTTGACTATACAAGGAATTGASAATATACATATTTAAAGAGTAGGTTTATAAACATTTTTACAGATACTTGTATAATTGTATACTGAGCGAATAATAAAAGTCAGAATAGCTTCGAAAAGAAAGTKGCTGGTACTCACCTTCCAAATTTTGATCATAGCCCTTTGTAAAGAATAGCATAGCCTTTGCGGCGCGTTCGGGTGTCTTCAGCAAGCCCTGACGCTCGGGATTCTCACCAAGCCCACTCAGCAATAGACGATATGAACGCGACAATTCGGGTAGTAGCGCCTCACGTGTGGGTGGTTTGTGATCCAGCTCGAGATCGTGATGGAATGTRCAATGTTCATGGCCTAAGAACGTAAGAAAATTTAAAAACAAAATTAGTAAATAATTAAACAATGAAAATRTGTGAAGTGCTAAGCGCAGCGCGAAAAACTTGACAAATAAACAAATTTTGTGTTTTAGCGTTTGCGTTGTTAGAATTTAATTTTATTTTTATTATTATTTTTTTAGTGAGAATAAAATTCATATATATTAAAAAACAGATATTAGAAATTATTAGTTGAAAAAATTAAAAAATTTATATATACATATACTGTCTCTTATACACATCTAGATGTGTATAAGAGACAGTATATAATGTATATAATCAAAACACATGGATTTA